GGAGCAGGGAAAAGGAAACCCATCAATAATGCATTGAGGCATCCTTGTCACCCTCAGGCTGTGCCCAATTTGCTGTGCCCAATACGCTCCTAGTTGTAAGAAAACACTTTGCACTGCAGCGTTGCGTTTAGCAGAAATTACATTATAATTTCAGATGTGGAAACTTCTATTCCAGGTCTGAGGCAGGSAGGTGTCCCATCAGGCTGTGCAGTCATTATCTTAAAAAATTGAAATGCATGCTTGAACTTAATCAAAATCAAGGGAAGACATTGCTCCAGCCTCCACTTGCTAATTCAGTGCAAAGTGGAACAAGAATGTTTAACTAAATTAGAAACTGTATTATTTCCCAATTATTCKTTATGAGATGGAGTTTGGCCAGAGCAATTTCTCAGAGTGTGAAGACTTGAGCCAGAGCCCATATCCATCTCTGCACAGCAAACTGCCCCCACAGAAACCCCTTCTCGAGGGAGGGGAGTGTCCAGGAGCATTTGGGATCTGTGCTCACGGTTTTCTTCCAGCTCCTTTATGCTGCCAAGCAGCAGAAAAGACTCAAGCTTCCCTTCAGAGGCAGTTTTGCAGTTTTGCTGGCACAGGGGTGGCTCCTCAGCCATTTCACTGCCCTGGTTTGTGCCAGGGACTGGCCAGAGGCTGCAGGGATGGAGCCTTTCTCTGCCTCCTCCAGCGTGGTGCATCAGAGCTTGGGGATGGTGAGGACTGGGGACTTGCATCACTGCCTTTAGTGTGCTTTTCTTACAGAGGTTGATATTTTGGGTACCTGACAGGAAGCACCACTGCAGAAATGCCCACAGAGACCTTTCTGCAGACCAAAGTGTGAAGCTTCTGCCACATTTTGTCTGTGAGGTGATCAAACTCTGCTATTAGGCAGCCCMAAGGTGACAGCCTTTATTTGAGCCCTGAACCCTGCAGTGGTGTCTGCTGACAGCAAACCTCCTCAAATGCCTCTGCCTTTTGGAAATCAGCCAAGTGTCCTGGATCTGACCAAGGTTTTGATGAAAATGATGGGGCTCAGGCTGTAATCCAAGGAGTTTTCAAGTGAGTGGTGTGGCCCTGGAAGCCCAGATRCCAACACAAGCAGTAATTGCACCCTTTGCTTCATTTTTCAACCCCATCTCAAGTGGCAGCTGTCCTCTGGCACTGACTGTGAGTGGCAGGCAGATCYCATAAGGATGAACAGTGGGAAGATACAGATGGCAAAGGGCATCTGACATATTTTCTTGTGCTTGGTAAGGTCATAGCAGTGCAAATTCRTGCCCTTGTCTGATTTATTCATTCCAGGCTGGGGAACACCACATCCCTGTGACTCTGGAAGAAGAGATGGGTGGTTTGAAGGCACTGCTGACCTCTTTTGGCACCCAGCCAGGTACCAGCAGTGCTCTGATAAAGCTTCCCTGTCCCCTTCATCAGTACTGGGCTCTCGGTTGGGAAATATTTTCCCAGCTCCTTCTATGTGTCCTGGGTTATTCTGTCTCTGTGATGCAAGATGAGTCAAAAAAACAAAATAAAGAGAGCAAGAAACAGGGAACAGAACCAGGAAAGCCAAGTGCAAATAAAGAGCAGAACAGGAATCACAGCAGGAGCCTGAAGAATTCATTGCCAAGTGCTGGAGCTGAGTGGGAAAAGAAAAAGTTACAGTTCACTCACAGAGAGCACATTTGATTTCCCCTCCTGGATTTCCACCAAGGTGAAATTTCCTTTCTCTTTGTGTGTGTGAAAAGCAACTGGAGCAGGGGAGGAACAGCCCACAAGGGAGAGAAGTGACTACAGCCATGAATCCATCGATGAGGACTCTCTGGTTTGCCCATTTGTCTATTTTTGGATGCTGCAGTCAGGAGCTGGGAGCTGAATTCTGTGCAGAGAGCATAAAAGCAGTGCCCAGCTTGACCCTGGCGTGGTTTCTGGCTGGGGAAAGCCCTTTTGGTCAGGCACCAGAACCTGGTCAGTGGSACATGGGAACCAGCTGGTGGCAAACCTGGATGCTCAGACACGCCAGACTGTGCAGCGTTGGCACATCACCCGGGGTGATATCTTTGTTCAGATATGTAATGCTAATTTTGCTGATACTTTGGGGTATGCTTGATCCTGGGAAAAGGTGWGAGCCTGGGGGCTGAATGGAATGTGGATTGGAAAGTCCTGCTGGTGAAGGACCAGCAAAGAGACCGAGAGAAGGCAGCAACCTCTTGCTTTCCCCAGAGTGGATTTTCATAGAATTATAGAATTCTTTGGGKTGGAAGGCACCTTAAAGATCATCTTTTTCCAGCCCCCCTGCCATGGGCAGGGACACCTTTGACAAAATGTCCTTGTTTGAGTTCCATCCAGGAAAACCTTGAACACTTCCAGGRATGAGGCATGCACAACTYCTCTGGGCACCCTGTTCTTCACCTTTTTGGGGCTGGATGCACCTTTTAGCAACTGGGGTGAGTCTGGTCAGAGGGGTTTGGGTTATCAGTTCCCATTCCAGGAGGTTGTGCTGGGCAGGTAATGAGGACAGGAAATCCTCTCTGGGCTGATGGTGCTGAAATGGAGCAAAGTGACTCCCCTGCTGCCCCTCCTGCCCATCCAGTAGCCCATCCTGTCTCAGGTTCCTGTCCCCATGGGCTGGTTGATGGCAGCCAGAGAGGGACCAGGAAGGAGGTGGGGAGCAGGRGAGTCTCACAAGAGCGTTTTTCCATCCTCAGGGCTCGGGCAAAGCTCCTGTTTTATCTGTAAGCAAACCCAGCAATTTAATTAAAAAGAGGCAGATTTTCTCACATATATCATCCCTGCTCGTGTATTTTGGACTGCCTGATCCCTGTGCTCAGTGRTGCTTCTCGTTTCACTGCTGCTGTGGAGGATTAGGGTATTTTTCTCTCTCTTCCCCCTCTGCTACTCCTTCTGCCCATGCTTGCTYTGGTTTTTGTTTTACTTCCAGCAGCTCTTTCACCCAAGGTTTTCCAATTTCCCAGGGATGCCAATGTAATTTAGTTCCCACCCTGGTGCTGATGATTCCCATCTCACCCTTTACTTAGAGAGAACAGAACATTTCCACTTCTGTTAAGGGAGTGCAGGGCTCTTCCTCCAAAAACTGGGGCACTGAGCACCCTGGTTAGGGAAGGAATCCAAAGGCTTTCCCACTCCCTAATGCAGGTGGGGACTCTGCCTGGTCCCCAGAAGGAGATGTTTCCCTGATGCTTCATCCTCACAGCTTTAATACTGACAGCTTGGAGAGTGTCAGCAGTGATAAACTCGGTYCCATTCCGTTTCAAAATTGGTTTAAGAAAGATGCCTGGCTGTTTAATATTTAAGCTAAATGTTTAATGTTTAAACAGGGAAATTGGTCTGATTGTCAGAAAGGGCATTAAAGCAGGATGGGAACTGGGCTATAATCTCTGACAAATGCTGCCCTTTCTCTGCAGCAGCCTGGTGCCTGGGAGCTGCAGGAGTTTCAGAAATGCCAATTTTAATCAATCTCTCTCCTTTCACTAGCCGCCTGCCAATCCCACAGCGGGGAGACGTGCCTTTCCCTGGGAAGGGGAGAACATTGTACCTGGCCCTGTTTAACAGTCTGAGATGAGTTCAGCCAAATTGAACCTGTACTTCAAACCCCAAACTGATTGCAATGGAAATATGTGTGGATAAGGYGAAGAGTGAAGCTGGACAGTGTTGGCTCACGAGTGTATTCCAGATGATTTGGGGTTCGTTTTGCATGGGCACACAAAAGTTCTGATGCCAAGTTTAAAGTAAGCCTGAAAATGAATGGCTCTAGTTGCCACAAATATGGATGAATTATTTTTGACCAGGTATGGGCAGTGTTTTTCAGGTGGTGGAAATATTCCCCTGGGGAAGTGTGTGGCAGTATGGAATGGTTTTCCACCACAAAAGGCTCAGCAGCAACAAGCCTGTGCTCCCTCCTTGAGGAGGCACTGTGGGTGGCAGGCTGCATCAGCAATTCAAGTGACTCACAAAAAACAAAGCAAGAAAGAATCTGAAGAAAAGTTTATAAGAAGATCGAGGTTTCAGGGCTATTGAAAGGCACATTTCACCCATGTTGAAYGACAGTTGAGTTCATGGACACGTACAGCACTCAGAATTCATGGCAAAACGACTACATAATGGTGGCACGTTGTGAAACATACATTCCAGACTTCAGTCAAACACTAAAGTGATTATTTTAAGTGCATCATGTACATAATAAGAGYGGAACAGGCAGATGCATCCAATTACTGTAATTTACAAGGCAGTAATTCGAGCCCCAAATGCATTTCTCCTTACTGGAAGAAGGYGCTGTGGATTAGGAGCAAAATGAGGGGCAGAGGATTGACAGGGAGCCAGGAAGCCGCTGCCATTTGGGAAACAACAGCTCCCACCTGCTGCAGGCTGGGGAGGGATTTAACTCTGGTTTAATCTGCTGATTCCTGTCACTGTGCTGAGGCAGCACCAGGCTGGGCTGGATGGGKGCTCTCAGGGCAGGGACCCCACAGAGCAGATGTGCACAGAGGTTTCTTTGGCAGTGGGAAGGATAAAGTYCACCCACACCTCCTCTCTCTCTGCTCATGCTGTGCTCAGTGCTAATTACCTCCCCTCATCCAGCTCGGGGTTAAGTTTCACGTYGTGATGATTAATAATTAATCAAATGCATTTGGAAATTAATTTGGAGATTCTACAACTGATTGGCGTGCTAATCTCCTCTGTGCAGCGGGGCTGTTGTGGGAATAACCTCGGATGTTCTGAGCTGCTGRCTGAGGTCAATGCACGAGGGCATTTACTGTCTTGTGTGCTGAAAAATAAAACATTGAGTGGAAACAAAAGTATTCTCTGAGACCCCTTTACAACYCAGGAAAGGTGTGATCTGCATTTTGCCTGGCCTGTATTAGGGATATATCACTGATATTATCATGCCCAACCAAAAACAAATGGACAAATTTGGAAAAGGCCCCCACAGTTGATTTATTTCTGTTTGGCTGGTAGCAACCGCAGTAGATTTGATGCATTAATTACGGGATTAAAAAAAAAATCACAAGGAGAATAACTTGTTCTCTTTCCAGCTGTCCATGCAGCTTTTCTCCAAAATAACACTCATCTGGTAAAAGAGAAGGAGAGGGGGTGTGCAGCTTCCACSGGGTGTGTGGTCCCCGCTAATTTCGGGGCAGAAGTCCCTTTTTGCAGGCGAAGAGCCCCGCAGCAGCCACGGAGGTGAGGCACACGGTGCAGCTCAGCAGGCACAGCAGCCCTGGGGCCGAGGGCAGGTTCCTCTCCCAGAAGGTGCTGGGGAATGGTCGGGCTGGGACATCCTGGGGARACAGGAGATGGTGACAAATGAGCAGGGAGGTGGCAGGCGTCCCCCACGAGGCTGGGGAGGTGTTTCCCAAGGATTGGATTGTGCAGAGAGGAAGAGTCATGGATGTATTTTCTGTCATCCTGAGCAGCCACAGGRCAGTGAAGGTGGAGTTACTTGTGACTGCAAGGAGGTGGAATTTGGCTAAAAATCACAGCCTGGGATTGGGCAGAATGAGGCTGATTTTTCAGTTCCCAGGCTCTGAGATGATTCCCCTTGGCTCTCAGCCATCCACCCTTCAGGCAGGGGTGACGATATTCCTCGGACAAGTCACAAAAATTGATACCATCAGCATGTGAGGTGAGCAAAGCCTGGGAGCAGGGTGCACAGGAATCACTGGAACAGGGACAGAAGGGTGTGTGCCCAACTGGGTGACAATGACACTGCCTTACCTTTGACTCTGGCTCTGGCACCCAAATTTCACTCTTGGAGATYTTCCCCATACTGTGCAGTACCTAGAAGAAAAAATTTGTACCACATGAAAAAATTGTAACTCACAYTGCTTCCAGCTTTGGAAAAACAGAGGAAATCAGAGCAAGGTGACATTGATAAAAGGCATAACTATGACTTGCTGGAAGTCTTGAACCAGAAAATGTACAGTGATTTCTACTAC